AAGTTCTCATCCACAGCTATCAGGGATTAAGACCCAAGCATATTTTTTTTACTACAACAGAGGCTATCTTAAAGAACAGTTGTTTAAGTGTTTTTGATGGAGGAGACATGTATAAATGACTTCATATTTAGGGTGTATGTGAGCAAAAGAAGGTTTCCTACTAAGCAAGTGGTCATGTGGGGTTGCAAAGACCTACTACTGTCAAGCATAGTGGACTTCAAAGAGATTATACCCAGTATCCATGGTGGACAAAGAAGAAATTAAGTTACAATGGACTATTTGCATATGGTGTGTCAAATAGTTAAACTTCCATTTTGAAAAGGTGTATTGGGTTGGTTTCTGCCAGCTGGTGTGAGGTAGGGGCATTGGGTAGCACCGTTGTAAGTTCTCTAAAGAGCAGCAGGTGGTTTTCTGTATCACCACCATAAATCAAGCTTGCTGATGTCTATATATCTGCCACTAACTAAATTGGTGTATTTCATTCTTTAAGTTAATAAACATATTTTGGCCTCAGAAATTATAGACTAATGTTAGATCTTCTGAGAGACCATTCGTGGATGGATCCATAGATGATTTTCCCCCCTTTGATCAAATAATGTGATGGATAGTACTAATGGTCTTCTAATATAAAGCCATTCTTATATTCCTTTCAAATATTTAACCTGAGCATGGTGCATGTTCCTTTCAATATTCTTTTTGAATTTATTTTACTAGTTCTTCATAGTTTTATTTTTTTTCATTTGTAGAATGGCCTTCTATTTATTTATTTATTGTCTTGGTTGTGGGACTTGAACTCTGGGCTTTGGCACTGTCCTTCAGCTCTTCAACTCAAGGCTAGCACTCTACCATTTGAGCCACAGCACTAATTCTAGTTTTCTGAGTGGTTTATTGGAGATAAGTCTCACAGACTTTTCCTGCCCAGGCTGGCTTTGAGCTGCAATCCTCAGATCTCAGCCCCGAGTAGCTAGGATTACAGGCGTGAGCAACCAGCACCCATCTTTTTTAAAAGTTGGCCATTTGTCTGTACAATTTCTTCATTAAAATCTATCCCAGGGGCTGGGAAGTTGGCTCAGTGATTGAGTGCTTGCCTTGCATGCATGAAGCCCTGGGTTCGATGCCTCAGAACCACATAAGCAGAAAAAGCGGGAAGTGGCCCTGTGGCTCAAGTGGTAGAGTGCTGGCCTTGAGCTGAAGAGCTGAGGGACAGTGCCCAGGCCCAGAGTTCAGGCCCCACAACCAACACACACACACACACACACACACAATTTGTCCCAATATGGATTACTTTTCCTCTAGTATTTTTGTCAGGATGCATTAATTATGCAAAATAATGGGTGCATGATGACACCTTCATACATTCATCCAATGTATTTGATCACACTTCTCCCTCTATTGCCCTTCTTTATCTCCCACCCCCAATAGCTTTCTGCATCTCTAATAGCCCTTTCATGTATTGAACTCCTAAATTCCACATGAGAAATAAAACAAGTGATTCATAACTTGGTGAGTCTGAATTGATAATTTCCAGTTTCATTTTGTTCTTTATGACTAAACAAAACTCCATTGTGGATATATGTGTAGTTTCTGTACACATTCTTCCTATGAAGAATACCTAGGCAGATTCATTAACTTGGCTATTATGAATGGGATCATGACAAACATGGGCATGTGGGTGTCTCTATAGTAAGCTCATTTGTTTTCAATTTTTTGTTATTATTTTTTTGTTTATGTGGTACTGAAGAATCAAACCCAGGGCCTCATGAATTCTAGGCAAGCACTCTACCACTAAACTATATTCCCAGCCCCACATTTGTTGTTTTTATGCTTTTGGGTATCTACCCAGAAGTAGTACCTCTTGTGGCTAGAATTGTAGAGGAATCTTGCTGGCCAAAAGATAACTTGAGTGAACCCTGGGGTCTCAGAACTCATCACATTGTTTGCTTCACAAATGGTCCTACCAAGCCTCAGTAAGGATGACTAATCTAATGTTCTAGAACTTAGCATAGAGCTGGTAATCAAACCTTGTGCCCTTGGCTTTAGAGTGATGCTTTCTTTGGTTTCAACTTGCTATATTGTGCCCTGTTCCATATGAGTGAGCTATTTCCTTCTCTGCCATCTGCCATCCAAAATTCACACTTCTCATAGGTGAATCATTTACCCATCATTCCAGAATTCTCTACAATTTTGGCCACATACCAAAGGCTGAATATCCACAGAGGACCCCAGAAACAATGTGAATTATCCACAAGTCCATCATATTTTGAAAGGCCCTCATATATCAACTTTAATGCTGGACTAGGTGAGAGATGTAGTGGTGGTTTTTGGCCATTAGAGAATTCACTCCTCTTTCAAAGGCTGATGCATGACTAAGTACAGAGCATGCTCTAATAAGCCTTGCAATTTGGAGAACATCTTTGATGTATAAATACCGCAGTTTACACGAAATTCCCTCTCAAAAGTGGTATAATTTTAAAACCATCTTTGACGTCATAGCTACAGCACACAGTGAAATGTATTCATAGTTCCCCAGCATCACTTCTCTTTGAAGAAAATGAGTTTTAAAATGCTTTTAAGAGAGATTAATTTACTCATCAGCCTTCTTCACAGAGTCAGAATTTTCCCGGAATAAAAGAGCACATATCTCCATATAGAAGCACACGCAGGCACGTAGTAATGAGCAAAGCTTCATGTTTTAGTTTAAGAAGATGACTCATGAAGGAAAGGAGAGGATTCAGCTGATCTACTTCAGTCTTTGTGATCCCTCATGAAATGCTTTTTGCCATTAGAATCTTCCCACTTGTAATAGTTCAATGGCGTCTCCTTCCTCTTAGGGTCCTATAGATTTAAATTCTGTAGATTTAAATTTGCCATGGGGATGCATGGCAAATCCTTGGTCACTGCTACAACTGATTGAAACACATGAATCAAATGCCTACTTTGTGAAGCTGTCTGCATCTCATTTTGTATGTCTCTGTAGTATTTGCCAATTAATTCACCTCAGAGAATATCTGGTCACAGAAGTTCTCTCCTGGTGCATGCATATGCATACACACACACACACACACACACACACACAAATGATGGATGATTTAAAGTTTCGCCCTTGACAAATTCTTTTTGGTGATATTGACACCTCCTTTTTGTCCTTCTTCCAGACTTTTCATGTTTTCTGAAATCCACTCATATTATCCTGTGCACAAATTAAATTCCAGCAGAAGGAAAAGCTGTAAGAAATGAGCCAGTCAAATCCTACACTTCAATGGTGAATCTATAAATCATTGAGAAAGTTACAGATTTTGTCTTGAAGACATTTCCATGTATCAGAGAGATCATTTCAGAAGTAATTTATGACCAAAATAGGTCTTAAATCGCCTTATGAAAGCATATCCCCAGCATAATTAGCACAGTCATCTGGAGAAGATCCAGGTTCGTGCTTAGTACCGCTTTTACAAAAGCTTTAGTTCTGCAATCTGTTTTACCGACACAGCAGTGTGAATGCAGAGTGGACCCTCGCCTGGTGACAGCTGCATTTGTATGCCTTCAACTGGCCTTGTCACAGGAGATGATTCCAACAGTTATTCTTAACTCCTTAAACATATTTTCCTTATGTGTTTTCTTCCCTTGCTGCCATACTGAGGATTTTATGAGGAAGCTGAGTAAATATTCCAGGTCATTATCATTTCTCTTAAGTAGTATTTTCACTTTCAGAAGAATATTTGGTTACTTACTATACACTGGACTTGGTACTTATGATTTTATATACCTACGTGGATCTAAGCTATGCTAAGAATTTTGTATGTACTTCCTCATGTAATCCTGACAGCAACTCTGTATGATAGGTACTATTTTTTTTATTGTAAGAAAAGACTTCAGCTTGGGGTAAGGTGGGGGCTGTACCTTACCAAGTGCTTATAATAAAGTAGTCTAAGCAGTCAAATGACAAAGCCATGTTTTCAAACCCTCCTCTTTGTTTTATTCCATGACAGTTCTGTGCTTGAACTCAGGGCCTGAGCACTGTCCCAGAGATTCTTTTTTTTCAACACTAGTGCTCTATCACTTGAGCCACATGCTACTTCAAGCTATTCCCGGGTCATTTATGGGAAGTAAGAGTCTCATGGACTTTCCTGCCTGGGCTGGCTTTGAAACATGATCCTCAAATCTCAGCTAAGATTACAAGTGTGATATGCCAACACCTGGTGAGCTGCTCAACCCTTGTTTTAGACTGTTTTCTTGCTCTTCACAACACGTGAAGGGGAAAAGTAAATTTCAATACAGTATTCATAGAAGGATCCTTGTAGTAGCATATAGTTCTTTGATGTGTACATCCAGAGATATGATATATTACATACATAACATATCACAACATATTATATAATTATATGTTATATAAATTACATATAATTGTATAATGATATATATTATGTTATATAATTATATCATATATGTATATAATATATAATTGTATAATACATTGTAATATATTATGTGTTACATATATTATATAAATTTATATAGCATATACTATTATGTAATATATATGCTTATATTTGTATATACTTATATATAATATATGCTTATAATATATACAAATATTTACTTTTTACATATATTCTATATACATATATACTCCAAAGAGTATATATAAATATATAGTATATATAGATACATATAGCATATATAAATATATAGCATATATATATACTTATATATGCTATATATAAAAATATATACTATATATCATGCATGTTTATATATACTATATATACATATATAGTATATTTTGCATATATACTATATTATATAATTATATATTATGTGTCTAATATATTATACATAATTATATATTATGTGCATATTTCATATATGGTTATGGATACATGGATATGGTTTCTTAAATAATACAAATACAATGGGAGCCATTATGTAGTTCTTTCTATCTACTAAGTACTTCCTATGTGCTAGACAATTCATATGCATTATCACATTTGCTCCCAAAATAGCCCATGGTCATGGATGCTGTTAGCTTCCCCATTTTACAAACGAGAAACACAGAAGAGAACAAAAGAAGAAAAGAAACATCATAGAGCTAACAATTAATTGAGGTAAGAACCAAACAGATGATTGTGTTTATATAAAATGCTGAATGTATTTATTTGTATATGTACATACAAATGGCTGTACAAACATAATTACATATATGTGTATATCTACATATCTACATGCACACATAACACACACGGTATCTCACTTGAGATAGTAAGTATGTAGTAAGTATGTAGTAAGATGTTTGCAATGGTAAAATAATATATGAATTTACTTGCATGTATATACATGTGTATACGTATTTATATTCTTGTGTGTGTCAGTCTCTCATTGTGTAGCTTACTAAGTACCCTGCTGGCCTCAAACTGACATTCCTCCTGCCTCAGCTGCCCAAGTGCTGGGATTAGAGTTGTACACCACTATACCCCATTAACATACTTTTAATTACAATAAAATTTCAATTAACTTAGCTCTAGATATATTTTTTGATTACCAAATAAACTTTACAAAATTGAGTCCCGATGTGCAATCGACACTGGCTGGAATTGCCTTCTGCCAGTCCTCTCATTGTCTTGAAAGCCTTTTGCTTTGCCTGCTTTAGCTTCCCCTTGTTTCCTTCAGATCGGTGCATCTGTGTTTCAGAGGTGGTGAAATGTTCTGCTAGAGCACTGTCATGCTAACCTAAGAGACATTGCTTCTGACAGCCACACCTCTATTCTGAGTGTTAACAAACTATAACTTTTGCGTTTTGGGTTTTTGTACAGCCCATAACTGAGAGTGGTTTTTACTTTTTTAAGCAGTTAAAAATCAAATGACAAATACTTCATGTCATGAAAATTATCTCAAATTCCAACTTGAGTCTCCACATATAACCACTGGGAGACACCCATGCTCATTCATTTATGCCTCATAAATTTTTTACTTACAATAGCAGCCCTGAACAACTTCAACATGGCTTGAGAAGGATAAGGCATTTACAAAAAATACTTTTCAATCCTTAAGTACTCTAATGCATTGCATGCTTACTTAATGACTCAACTTGCTGGGAGTTTCTCTTCATTCCAGTTCCATTCAGAGAACCTCACTGTTTCCCTTTGTCCTCTGGTCTCTCAAATATGGATCTTTTTTGAATAATCCTTTTCTGAAGATGACTGCAGTTTCTGTTTTGTTCATTATGAAGGAACATTTCTGCTGTTCCTTCACATCCTCAGTAAACCTAGGTTTAGTAGAGTGGGCCATGAATTGAGAGAGTGACAACACTCCTCTCTTGACCCCTGTTTACCCATCTGTAAAATGCACATTGTATCAAATGACCTAGGTGGGAAACTATCAGTCACCTGTTACCTACCTGCTCTGGTGGGTACTGGCTTATGCTACCTCAGATATTATCCACAACAGTTTGGTAAGGATTGAAGCTTGGGACAAAGTGACTTGTCTGTGATGAAGGTACTTAGAAACAGACATAGACCCACAACAAATGCCCTATCATTCATCTGAATGAACTCATAAGAATTCATATATATATAGTCTGATGGTCCACCATATTGAAAACCTTCTGTTTCCTTTTATGGATTCTTCCTATTTCTGAAATGATCCCTAATATCCAAGAACTGGCCTCACTTGTCCCTAGAGTATGAAACTAGTCCCCAAGGGAACTAAAGATAACACCTAAGAACATATTCTTTGCTAAGAAACAAACAGATACAGAAACCCAGAAATACTGAATTAATAAATGCTTCCTCTAGTCATAAAAAAGGAACCACAATTGGGAGCAGTCATTTTGCAGTCTGTAAAAGACCAATAAGTTTTCAGGCCAAGAATCACTGGGTCTAAAACACTAGGTTGTGATGTTGGCTATTTTTCAGAGCCAAACATTATTAGCAAGTTCTACTGCTCATTTGGGTCATCAAAGATGAATACCTTTTCTCCTTTTTTATGCAACCTAGAAAATTATCAAAGCCTTGAACATTTGTTCAAATGTCCTGAGAAGAATTAAGCAAGTTACATGCTGAATTAAATCCTTTGGATTAAAGAGAAAATAGGAGCAAACATTGTGAGGAGATACAAGCAGCCCTTTGGAGTCTGAGTGACTGTGTCCAGGCTGTAAGAAGGCAGATGTACAAGGCTCAGAACAGCTGCTGTGGGGCTGGAGAATAAACATAACCAAACCTATGGGGCCAGAATCTGCCACAACAAGGCTTGGTCAGAAGATAGTTACAAAGAACAGAAAGGGCTATTATGGGATTGTCCAGTCTCATTTCCTCAGTCTTGAGTGCTCAGACCAAGGCTGCTACTTGGAAAGCTTTAGAAGATCTTATTTTCTTACCAGAAAACAAAGGTTAGGAATTAATGCCTTTGGGTAAACAAAACAACCCAATTATATAATGTTGAAAGCATGGATACAAGAATGAATGAGCAAAATAAATGATTGCTGTCATATGCCAGCCACTATCCATAAGGTGATTGGCTGCTGCCTTTATAATAAGCTATAAAGTTGGCATTTATAATTTCATTGGTAGCTAAGGATAGTAAAAGTTGGAATGGTGGAAAGGACCTTATTTCACAATGGGCACTGTATACTAAAGAATTTTTTAAATGCAACTATCAAGCTGGGCATCAGTGGTTCATTCTTAAAATCCTGGCTACTCCAGAGGCTGAGATCTGAGGACCATTGTTTGAACAGCCAGAACAGGAAAGTGCATCAGACTCATTGTTAATTAAATACCCCAAAAGCCAGAAGTGGAGCTATAGCTCAAGTGACTCAAGTGGATATGCACAAACATGCGTGTGCACGCGCGCGTGCGCGCACACACACACACACACACAGAGGCATACACATAATCACTATAATTCTTTTTTTCATTATATAGAGAATACCTTATTAGTTTCTATAATCAAACCCATGTAAATAAGCCCTTACATATTTAATAGAGTATTTATCCCTGTACAAATGAAAAAAAATAAGTTCAATGTTTCTAGACCAATATGGCTTTTAATTTCTGTACAAGGTCAATTATTTTAAAAATAATCATCCATCTTATACTCCTTTGTATATGCGTTGAGTAGGAATTCAAAGAGTCCATGAACCTTACAAACTCTGACTTCTTGCTACTTGCTGGCTATGAATCCATTGCACAGCTAGGTACAGATGACTGGCTGAGAATTAGAAATACATCCCCAAAGAGATAGTCAAATACATGGTACAGGGGAAAATGAATAGGGGAAATTTGAATAAGACTGTGCCTGGAATGAGTTGCTTTAATGTGGCCCATTATATAACACGAGAGAGGCTGGTGACAAGATTCGTGGCACTGCCACAAATGAGGTTGGCCAAACAGGAGCTTTTCTTCTCTGAGAGTCTTCACTGAGCCTTTATACCTCCAAATGTCCCTTTCTAGAATAATCAGGATGGATGCCAGTGTCCTCTGGGCTTACCACAAGCTTTCTGAAAAATGACTCTACACTCAACTCTTATCAACTCTTGCTATTGACCTCTCCCTTTTACTACTCCACATGATGGGAGTTTTCTTCCCTTTGTGTGTCTGACCCGGGTTCCAACAAAGCCACCAGCATCCTCCATATGTTGGTACATCTCATTTCTGAATCGATTGGTATGAGTCCTCTGAGGCATGTGATTCGGCTGACCGCAATTCCTTCTAGAAACTTCTTGATGGGTTTAGTGGGTGCCATTCTCCTATGTTTTCCATTTTCCCTAGAACTGTTCTTTCTTTGAAAATAGCAACACACCAACAGATTTCTTCCTTCACCCACTCCTTAGAGTTGATGTACCATAGGAATAGATTCTTCCTCTCTTTCTATCTCCCATCCTCGGCTGGCTTCAGCTATCTCCTAATTTCATGTCCAGAACCATGAAACCTGTTTCTGTAGATAAGCCCCTATTGGTGGCAGCAGTTTCCTTCCAGATATTTTACCCAGGAAACCCTTTAGGCTTCTCAGACTCAATGTGACCAGAGTAGACTCTGTGTTTCTTCTGACTCAGCCATAGGCTTCACCATCTGTGTCAGTTCTACTGGTCACACCTTAAAGTACCCATTTGTTTCTAGAAATAACATCAAATATGTATTTGCCATCTAGAAATGAGCTCTAGAAATCATAGGTTGCAGAAGTTGTAAGAGAAAATCTCGTCATCTGCCCTTTCAGCTTCTAGAGGCTCCCTGCTTTCCTTGGCTCATGGTTTCATACTCCATAGTAAGGATTAACAGAGCATAACGCTCAAATCTCTCTTTCCTCTCTCTCCCCCCTCTCTCCTCTCTCCTTTCTCTCTCCACTCTGTGTCAGCAACCATGGTTTCTCCTCTGACTCTGATCTTCCCCTCTTACTCATTCTCAGACTTCTCTTTAAAGTGAGACCACATAGATAAACCAGGATAATCTCTCCATTCCAAAGCTGTTAACTTACAACTTCAAAATTGATCATGTCTTGTAAGGCAACCTCCACACATTTCAGGAGGACATGGATGTCTTTGATATAGCAGGTGATGGGTCATCATTTTGCCTGTCTGGTTCTCGGTGTTACTTGTTCAACAACAATCCTGTGCATTATTTGGTTGTTTGGACTAACAGCATGCAGACATCTTTGATATTTTTGACAGTCATCTTTGATATTTGGGTCACCATCAGATTTTATGTCTACTAAATCTCTCTTCATTGTTTTCCCTCACTTCCTTTGGTTTTTCTCTGAACTGTTCCCATTGAGGAGGATTTGGAATAATTCAATTCTAGTATTAAACCTTGGGTGGATATATTTTGGAATGACATTTTTTGTTGTCATTTTAATAGGGAGGGGGGAAAATCACTGTTACAGAAATATATTGTACGCTATTGAAAGAATACCATGCCAGAGCAGCAAGCTTTGTGGGTGAGAAATTAGAGGGTAATCCTGAGTTGTAACTTGCCACTTCCTAACCCTGTTACATCTGGTATCTTATTGAAGTACTCTAATTCTTAGTCTCCTCATCTTCAATATCCATCTTCTAAGTAATCCAGACACTCCAGCTGCAGTGACGTAGATATTTATGCTGCTCATATGTAAGTCATTAGTAACACACTTCTGATTCAGAGAATGAGCCATTATATAAGCAGAGTTAGCCAGAGCCTGGAAACATTTTAATATTTAAAAAAAAAGCAGCCAAGGCAATCTCGATCCAATGTGTACCAACTTGTCTGTTTCTCAGTGGAGCTCAAATATTTATGAGGTGGGTGCTCATCCTCATTCAGGGATTAAATGGGGAAGGGATTCATACTTTAAGAAAAAAGACCACAAAACTCTGAATACAGCACAAATAATAAAAATGAGAAGGCTTTTTTTTGGAGTGAGAAATTAAATCACCACAGAATGCAAATGGTTTCTTTTGGAAATATTATAAAACTCACATGAACATTGAAAGGGAGACTCAGAAAAGAAGTCATCCTGAAGTTTAAGATGGAACAACTTCCCAAGAAATGACTTTCTCTTCTTGTCTACTCCTCTACCTCACCCCCAGAAATCTACACTTCTATTCTTCTTAAATATCACAATTACTCCCACCTCCTCCTAATGCATATAAAATAAGTTTCCTACTTGCAAAATGGGGTGCTAAATATACTCCTAGCAAATGTTACAAATAAATGTCACATGGATACTGTGGCTTGCTAAGCATTAAGCATTCCTGCTGAAAATTTGTTTCAGTTTTGCATTGACAAAAATCTGACTGGTATGAGAATTCATTCAAGATTCCAGACAGAGCCCTGAGGAAAAGAATATCCTCCTTAAAGGACTAGATACATGTACCAAGAGTAGGATGAACTGAGGGATTGCTGCAGGTCCTGGGAAGTGATGGAGCAAACACAATAGTAGGTTTTCTTTTGTTTTTAGGAATGACTCTTGAGAATCTCATCAAATACGGCTCTAGATTAAAAAGTCCAATTTCCGGTAAACGAACTGCAGCATTGGACCATGGGGATCCATCATTCCTTTTATCAATCATACCACCCAGAACCCACTCACCTGTAGAATGAAACAATAATGGCTTCTTAAAGGTGCATCTGAGATGTCATCTTGAGAAGAGACCCTACTAAAAGACCCTTGCAACTAGCCTATATGCTAATGATTTTCATATGCTGATGTATTCTCAATAGGTAAAATATATGAGTCTAGAAGCCAAATTGGTGGGAGATGGAAACAGAATGGATCCAATCACCTTGACCTCCAATGACCCACTTGGAGGATTAAGAAATTTTGAAGTCCTAGTTTCTGCAGACCTAGAAATCCTGCTGCTTCCCCAAGGGTAAATACTTCTACCTGGGGACACAGTGAAGGTCCCATTGAGGTTCAAACTCTGGCATCCACTTGGCCATTTTGAGATTCCCAAAAAGAATAGCCTGTGAAGATGAAAGCTAACACACTTGTACCAACAGTTACTTAATTATTACTAAGGAAATCATAAGAAACCAGGCATCAATGAGTCAGTACTTGTTTGATAATCTTAAGCAGAAACAAAATGGCAGGACAGGGTTTTCTTATAATTATTCTTACATGAGATTTACTAACTTTCCTCATGATCTGTATTCTTCAATTTTAGAAAGTGCTCAGCTATTATCTCTGTAAGTTTTGCTACATCTGTATTTTCTCATTTTAGAACTCAATTAAGCACATCTTGGGAAGTACCAATCAGGGGCCACATTGGGACTTTGGGTCCAGAGAGGTAGAGTGAATTCCAGTCCCAAATGTGAGTATAGACAGACTGTAGTTAGAAAGGAAGACTAAATACTTCTTCCCTCCAACTCTCTACCCAGAAACCATGAAGCAATTCCAACGATTCTGCTCCTTCCTTCTGTTGGGTCAGGTCTTATTCTGAGGTCATACATTTAGGGCATCTTGTGGAATTCCTAATTTCTTACAATAATTTCTGTAATTACATCCCATTGGCCCCATTTGTCTTCCATAGTCTGTCTTTCTGGCCCATTAAAACCAAGAATCTGAATGATGAAAGCAGTGACATTGATAAAGACATATTGTACTCATAAACAGATTTGTTGCATGGTAGTTCCTTTGTACAACTACTTAAAGGTAATAAGATTATAATTTTTAAAACCATGAGAATCTAAGATCAGGACAACCTATACTCTTTTATATCTAGAATTTGATTAGGACAACCTATAATGTTTTATATCTGGAATTTGATCAAGACAACCTATACTGGCTTATGATTCTGGAATTGCATTTTCTTGTGATTTTCTTTATCCCCTTTTTGTTATAATTTTAATGGATTTCATTATTCTATTTTCATATATACATATTATATACTTGCATGCATATCTATTTTGTTCTATCTTATAGACAAATGCCAATAAATTTCTCATTTGGGGACATTCTTGAAATTTTCAGTCCCTCTAATTTTTTTAGTTTGACATGTTTATACAATTAAGTATAAGTTTAATAGAAATAGGACCTATCTACAAAAATGGACTCACATCATTAGCTCACTGCATGACCTATTTTCGCAGATGAGCACTTGTAGTACCACCACTCAGATCAAGAGAACAGTAGTCTGAAACCACTTTGAGCTCCTTCCCAGGTGAACAGTGTTAAGGTATGGGACCTTTCTAACAATGGGTCATGCTGGCCCTGCCTTTGACCTTTGGAGTTACAACTGGAGCACCTCCTTTAGAACACTGAATAGAATATATCCACTCAATCCATTTTTCTGAGATCTAGAAAATCTGATTTAGAACCTTAGCTCTGTCATATTCCAACTTTACAAATGAGACTAATTACCACCCCATCAAAGACTCAGCTTCTTCGTTCATGAACGGACCACAAGATGCCCTACTGCACAGGTACTTCAAGGCCATGATGGCCTAGCAACTATTCTGATGAAAATCTGGGACATTATCTTATGGATTGAGTCTGAGCTATGATTTGGTTAGAAGGGAGACTGTCCAAAATTGCTAACCAGCTCTCTTTCTCTGGTCATTACAGACATACTGAACAGATCCCATCCAACAAGGAAAGGCCTCTGATCATTGATTCACTAAGATGACATGGGAGAGGCCACCTCTGACCCAGGCCTGCTGAAGTTTCCCCAAAGGTGAAAGACACAATGCAATACACAGCGTGTGTAAAATGTTCATGGACTATGTGACTTTTTATCTGAAGGGTGTAATGAGACTCAATGTGTTTTTGATGTTTGGACTGTTTGTTGAAAGAACTGAAGTTGCATGCATTCAGAAGTGCAAAGTTTCACTCTCGTGCTGTGGCTTGTTGGCTCCTAAGTGACCATGGTGTTCTTTCCAAACCAGACCAACCTACTCCCCTATCAAGAGTGTGCACGGAGTGATTAATGCTCTCACTGCATCATTCTGACTCAGTTCAAATATGGATGGATGTGAAGAAAAGGCAAGAGATTTCCATTCCCAAACACTCAGCTTCATATAAGGTCTTCTTTGAGACTTTCTCTGACTTGTAGGTCTCCAAAGAGTTCATTACTTGCTTTCTGCTGCTCCCTCAGGGGACCACATGCCAACATTATCTGAAAAGATCTTTCTAGTTGGCTGGGTTTCATGCCACTATTTGTTTACATTCCCAGGAGATGTCCAGCCTTTCGAGCAGAAGAACTGTGTGTTATTCCTTTTGGCAACTCTAGCACCTAGCACTGTGCCAGCCATATAGTAGGTGCTCAACACATGCTTATTGAATCAATCTGAGAAATTTTTAAATGTTGTTTTAAATCTTAAAATTACATTAGCTGAAAAGTGTTTTAAAAGAATGTGTGTGTGTGTGTGTGCGCGCGTGTGCGTGCACACAAATGCACATGCAACAGCCTGGAGCTTAAATTCAGGGCCTCTGCCCTGTATCTGAGTTTGTTTGTTTTTCTTCAAGGCTCTAACTCTGCCACTTGAGCCACAGCTCTACTTCCAGCTTTTGGGTGGTTAATTAGAGCTAAGATTCTCACAGACTTTCCTGCCTGAGAGTTGGTTTCAAATGGCAATCCTCCTGAGTAACTAGAAGTATAGACATAAGCCACCAGCACCCGGCCAAAAGTGAGATATTTTAAAATGTCAAGGCATTAACAAATTCTAATTAAAACTGAGGTCATCATGGTAAGCAAAATAAACCAAACTCAGAAAGACAAGTATTGCATGTCTTCTCTCATACATGGAACGTAGACCTAAAAAAATCTATAACATAAATTTAAAAGACGGAGCATTCTGCACAAAGTCAATGGAGCAAGACAAAAAGAGAGGGTGATGGGGGTGAATGTGATCAGGATACATTATATGCAATTATGAAAATGGAATAATGTAGCTCATTGAAATTTTTAAAGGGAAACACAACAAAGAGCAATACAGGGATGAATATGATTGAAATATAGTATATGTATGGAAATAAAACAAAGGGATCTCTTCATACAATTAATCTATGCCCATAAAGTTGGATATGTGAATGGAAGAATAGATGGGCATGTGAGTGGGTAGCTTAGTGATGGATGAAGGTATATAAAGACATGACAAGGAATTTAAAAGTCTTAGATTAACATTTTCTGCTTTCCAGTCCAGTGTTATATACTCCAGCATACTACTCCACCCTAAAGTAAAATACTTTAAGTTCCCTGGGTTGAACCTCAAAATTCTCTATGTCATTCCTTGTTCATTTGGTTTTGTTTTAATCTGTTTTTGCTGGGTTCTGGTTGGCTCACACCTGAAATACTAGCTACTCAGGAAGCTCAGTTTTGAGGATTCTAGTTCAAAGCCATCCAGGGCAGACAAATCTGAGAGACTCTTCTCTGGTTAACCACCAAAAAAGCCAAAAATTGAATAATGGCTCAAGTGTTAAGAATGCCAACTTTGAAAAAGCTAAGGGACAGTGCCCAGGCCCTAAGTTCAAGCCCCAGTACCAGCACACATACATACACACACACACACACACACACACACACACACACAGAGAAACAAAAACAAAGCAACAAAAATAAAACTGCTCTCATTACTATAGTCCAAAACTCTCATTTGTAATGTTTCTTCGGTTTAGACATTCTCATCATCTTATTCAGTGTCTCATAGGCCAGAGAAACTGGAAAGGAAGAATAGGAAATCTCTGCAGATGTTATTTCTAACCCTAAAATATAAAATGTAGCCTCTGTTCATCTACTCAGCAAATACTTCGTGGATGCCTGCTATGCCAAATAATAGCACCAAATACTTGGTTTTTAATCAATACTTGGTTTTAAATTTAATAAATTTTATTTTATTTTCTCTTTCTTGGTGGAGCTTAAATTCTCTTGGGGTTGTAGGGGATGAGAGACAAAAGCTAAAAACAATAAGCATAATGGATCAATTATTTCGGCTAGACAGTGATAAATGTTTTTCACATAGTTATTTGTAAAGCCAACCTATGGTCTATTGTTATGGAAGCCTCAAGAGATACAGATAGATTTTCATGCGTTTCATGCTTTTTAAAACGTCATTGTTTTTCAAATTTTATTTTTATTTTCTATTTATTTGTTTGTTTAGGCAATACTGGGTTTGATTCAAGTCCTCCCATTTGTGAGGCAAGTGGTCTATCACTTGGGCCATGTCTCCCAACCTAACCCTTTTAGAGTTTCAAATTTTACTTTCACATTTTTACCTGGGGCAGTTCTTAGACTACAGTTCTCCAGATCTCCACCTTCTGACTAGCTGGGATTACAGGTATGAGCCATCATGTATGGCTCAAAGTCTATTTTTAAGTTGTTTTCTGCTCACGTTATAGGACTAGAACTTGTTTTTCTACATTGATCTTATATCCTGCAATGATCCTAAATCTAGCCATTCCCTATAGCAGTTTATTTCGGATGCTTAGAGAGTTCCTCATACATGCTTTGCAAATAAAAGTGTTGATTGGTTTCTTTAAGAAAAACGTGTTATAGACATCACCGCAGAGCAGGGGGTCTGAGGGTGCTGGAGATGACATCTGAACCCTAGCACCTCTTGAATAAGTCATCTGGCCATTTGGCAGTGATGCTAGATAACCTACTAAAGAATTTTCACCTCAGGTGGATTCTAAGAGAAAGCACCCCATGACAGGAAGGGTGAGGTGGGGGAGGAGATAGAAAAAGGAAGGGACTTGGGGAAATGAATTCTCATTTGTAGATATGCCCAGCTTTTTTTCTGAATCTACTTACCCTTCCTTAGCCTTCTCCTATATTTAGAGATCAGTAGGGCTCAAGTTGGATAAAAGCAGCTTATGTAATAGGATGCTATGGACTGAGGTTCAGGAGAGAGATTTCTAATCTAGTTCTAAACCCAGCCTCCTGTCAATTCATTTTCCTTCTTGAGTGCCTCTTTGACCTATCTGTAAATCATTGGGAAACGAGACAGAATGACTTGTATTTTCTAAGCTGTAGTTCAGACCCCACCCCCACCCCAAGGTTCTACAAGTTGCATATGTTTGTAGTATGGGGAGAAGGGTTCCTTCCTGAACTCATGTGGTGACACATCAGTTCTTTGAATAATTACAGCTTCTTGGCAGTTTTATAAGCATTCTCACTTTATTATCTTGAAACTCACATCAGATTTCTAAGTTGCAATGCAAATGGCCTTTGCTTAATATTAGGAAACCACCTTTGAGCTTCCCGCTCCCTGCCATCTGTAGCTGTAATTGTCTCTTCGAAGAAGAGACTTCTTAATTACAAGATCATGCACTATGAAGGAAAACTGAATCCAGCAGATGGAACAAGTAAGAGCTCTGTGGTGAATGGCTGTGTGTGCATGTATGCAAAATTATATCTAATTTTGAGCCTATTAGTCAGAAGCCATTTAAAATTCTTAACTAGATTATATGACCAGTATTATCTAAAAGATCTAATGAAAATTCAGACAGCAAGATCAACCCAGACTTGGGAGAATTCATCTCTAAAAGCTGTCTTTTGCAATTGAAGCACTTAAACAGAACTGTTTGTTAGAAGTTCTTATGCTCATCTCCATAGTGATTTTTTTATGTTTCTTCACTGGGAAGGCAGTAGGAGAGAGGAGTCCCTTGATGATGAACTACAGGGGAAGGCAAAACAGTGCTTTGGGTGTTTTATCTGTAAACACTTTAGAGGAAGCCATTGCATTACAAGACTCTCAAAGTGTTTATGGAAAAATGACTGTAGACAATATTTTTCTGTGTGCGTATGCCAGAACTGAGGCTTGAATTCAAGACATTGTGCTCTTACTTGACCCTTTTGCTCAATGCTGGCACTCTGCCACTGGAGTCACACCCCTATTTCAAGCTTTCTGTTGGTTAATTAGAGATAAGAGTCTCAAGGACTTTTCTACCCAGGTTATCTTCAAACCACTATCCTCAAATCTCAGCCTCCTGAGTAGCTAGGTTTATAGCCATAGGTCAAGAATGCCTGGCTTCAAAAATAATCTACCTCTAAAAAACCCCCAGAACCAAAACCAAAGCAAACAAAAAGCTGCCCTTCCAAAAAGAAGTGTTGATTTTGGACTTAAAACAGGCTTTTTCCTGTTTATGGCCTCCATTTCCTCAGCCACAGTGGTAGGCCATCAGGTGGCACTGACGGTCACAATGTGGATTTCATCCGAATATTACCGAAATACTGGAGCAACTTCCAGCACTTGAGAGCGTGAGTTAGACTGCAGAGATCCAAGTGACCTCCTGAGGCTCGTGGAACAAAGAAGAATGAAGATGGCTTCTAACAGGTGAAGAAACAGGGTAGGTTATGGTGTGTAGATAAGACATTTGCTGTGTCTCTAAGGATGACGCCACTGTTGCCCAGACCACAGGAGAGGGAGCAGTGCTAGAAACTTCCAGGGAAGAGCTGAACTCCCTCTTTAACCAAGAGAACAGAGTACTCTGATCTGTTGGTATCAATCTTCCTACCTTATCCCCTGTAATAGCCATAGAAGAGAAACCTGGCCTAGAGAAGCTTCTAGAACTCTAACTTCCAAAATCAGACAAAGACTTGTGTGAGAGGCTGGGTGGGAGTTTGTTAGTTGATGCCTAAGCCCTTCACCATTCCCTGAGCTTTGGGAAATAAATATTTCACGGGTATGCCTAGGACTAGTAGGTAAAGTGGCACTCAATAGGGTTTT